TTTTCTTTGTCAGTTGGGCTCCAACGGTGTTGCAACTTACAAGAACTCTTTAATACGGCTGTCAGGATCTTCATTTAACTAGAGCCGCAATGCTTTCAGTATGTTGGCCCACCTTACTTCAATTGTGTGAAAGACGGTTTTTAAACTAATTATTTTATTTACACTATCCTGTAAATGTACATAAATTCTCTGCACAAGACACATTTTATATATGCAACCTGTATAGCTCTTGTCCTAATTCCAGGATCATTGTTGCATTTTTTTTTTTTTTTTAATCAACATTCTGTGCAGAAGAAAAATTAAGCATCAAACGCTCCTTTTTAAGTCCACAGATCCTTGAGCAGAAACCCTGGAGTAAGAAAGTTTAGAATCACAGACATGATAGCTGCTACCTCTGGGATTTTACATTTCATCAAGCAGACTAAAAGATATAAAGCCTGGTTATGTCAAACTTGCTTCCTGAGGTTTACACCTCAGTGTCAAGAGCTTAAACAATCACAAACGCATTCAACATGCACACCTTGTGCATGGTTGCCATGATCTGTCTGATATTGTGTCCTGCTGTCCCCCCTTCTTTTTAAACACCCTTAGTAGTTTGCTGGAGTAATGCTCTAGTTGGACCAAAAAGATTTAGACTAGAGGACTGTGGTGATGCAGGTGAACTCTGCATTAACCTAAAAACACATATTAGCCAAGTGTATCTCAGAGCAAGCTAAAACTGATGTTGATCAGCTATAACATATTCTAGGTAAGAACATCTGGTTTTGGTTGGAAGTTTTCAGGTGCAGAGTCACAGACTTGTATGTTGTATGTTATACAGAATGAGTATTGTAATATAAGCAGAACAAGCGTATAATGCCCACTCTTTTTATCGTATTCACAAGAATTACAGCTACAATCAATTTCTGATGCCAGTCCATGTAGTATGTCTCCCTTAAGCTTGGAGCTTGGACTTAGAAGTGCTGCTGTAGAACGCTCGATTCACTCTCTCTAAACTAATTCTGTATCTCATAACTGAACTGAGATATTTTGAAGTTTGATGGCCATGGATGGGATCTAAGGGTCCTCTTACACTGAAAAAAAGGGATTGGCCAGCTCTAGGATTTACGTAAGCATCATGTGTTTAACACAAGTGCCTCATGCTAACTGTATAGCGTAGAAACTACATGATATGCAGAGAGGCTAGATTAAATTGTTCATATCATGTTCGACTGAAGTAAGTCAATAATATAGCAATGTTAAATCCAGCGACACTGCACGGTATTTCAGTCTTGCGCGCTTTGGATCGTGGTCTCAGTCAAGTCGAGCAGCCACCTCTACTTTTTTTGGTATATACCGAAAAAAGTAAATTGGCTGCTTGTTACATTAAAAAAGTCTAACTTGTAATTTGAACACAATAATTTCATGTTTCTATGAACGTAATTAAATCATAAAGGATCTGTACGAAATTCAACAACTTAATTTGCTCTTGTTGCGATGACATGATACAATCTAGTAAGAGTGGTTAGTTGCTGAACTCATGAAATTCATAAGATCGCACGCGATGTCAAACTACAGGAAAATCACTGGAGTTATGAGAGGCAGACAACCATACACACACAAAACAAAAAAATTCTGCATCAAGCCTCGAAATCATAGCTTTCCTACTTTTGTTAAGCCTGGATTGGTGGCATCGTGGTTAATGCTGTTGCTTCACAGTAAGAAGGTCCTTTATTCAAATCCGCAATATGGCTAGTTTGCAGTGGTTTCTCTCTGGGTCTACTGGTTTCCTCCCACAGTTAAAAGTCATGCAGTTATTATAGTTAGGTTAATTGGTGATTCTAAATTACCTGTAAATGCAAATGCTTGTTTGTCATGTGATAGACTGGTGAGCTGTCCAGGGTGCACCCTGCCTCATAACCTATCACTTCAGGGTTATTTTCCAGCCCCCCTGCAACCAGGATAAAGATAGGAGGATGGTAGTTGTTGTAGATCCATTCAACTTTCATGGTAACCAGACTCTAGACTTTGTTGAACATTATGTAGTATTTAGGTGACCAAGTAGTACTGCAGTAAAAGTTATTGAATAGTGGTGAAATAAAATGACAAAATTGTGAGGGATTAAAATATTCCAAGAGCTCAACTTACTTCATCTAAACATGTTTCAATTGTGTTTTTGAACACAAAATGCACAGGTTTATTAATATGAAAAAAATTGTGTTGATTCAACTCAGTTGTTTACATTTCTGCCAAAGCAAAACATTTGTGTGCAACCAATGAAATAAGTAAATCCAACATGGCCTTTATTTCAGTGTGTGTCTGACTCATTCTGAAGGTAAATAACTTTAACCGTGCTCTTGTCTTTGATTTCTGAAGTTGCTGACAAGTTCACAAACTCATTGTCAAACTCACTGTCTCTATCCTTCAGTCTGAAATTGCCAGACAGTGCAAAGTTTCTTCTAATCTCTTTGTTAAGGACTTCAGCTGAATCAGGTGTTCCAGTGGGCAGAATTAACTTTGATGTATTGTCAACTCCAAGGACAACTCTCAGGACTGCAGCCATCTTGTGTTCACTCTGATAAAAAAGGACACATTTCTTAAGGAAACTGTTTTAATTTTCACCAGTTTAAATTTGTGAAATGAGAAAACCATTGCATTTCTATATGATCTAAATTTGTTTTATTTCTTGTATCTTTCCTCTCTTCCCTCTTTTCCCCCCTTCACTTTCATTTCTCACATTTCCCCTCTGCTTTAAAAACAGGTTTGTATGAGAGCCAATAATAACAATATCACAATAATGACAAAAATATTGGCATTGGCCAGTGGTACCCCTCCACCTCGCCGTAGATAAACCTTTCAATTTCAAATCAATTGCAATATTCTATGTTGCTTTAGCGATTGCATTCATAAGATTTTTAGAAAAGTTGACCTCTGAAAAAGTGAGAGAGGCTTTCAATTAAAATGCAAGCTTTTTTCACACCAAAGCAGCTTACCCCCTTTTCTTTGTTCTGCACTGAAATACTTTGATTTTACTTCTTTCTTCCGAATGTCACAAAGCTGAGCTGTACAAAATCCATAGATTTGTTTGGTTTTGCACAACAGTGTGAGATAGATTGAGCACCAGTTTCTACCAGGAGGCAAGTTACCTAAAATCCAATAAATCAAACAATATTTATGTTTCTTGCGTGAAACAATAGATTGCAAACCTGGAAGTCATTAATATGCAAACACAAGGAAATCTTTAAATCCTCACATGAAAAAAAGGATTGTTTGACCATCAAAACATGTATTTGGTGTAAATTTGCAGAACAGGCTATATGACTACTAGCAAGCTTGTCGACTATATCATTATAGTCTGTCTGTCAGTGCGCCCCAGGGTGGCTGTGGCTACAATGTAGCTTGCCATCACCAGTGTGTGAATGTGAGTGTGAATGACAGGTTGTGTAAAGCGCTTTGGGGTCCTTAGGGACTAGAAAGGCGCTATACAAATACAGGCCATTTACCATTTTTTTATTTACCATTATGCCCAAGTAGGTGAAGAGACTTAAGTATGGGAACATATTGAAATGTTTTGTTGAACCTTGCCTCTAGAACATACTCAACAGGTTCCACAACATTAAACTTTTCCTCACAGAATTGTTTAAGTTTGAAATCTGATGCCAGTGGACGTCCCTTAGATTTAGCTTGGACCAAAGGACTGTTGCTAGAAATGGCAAGGCTGAGTTCATTAATTATAACCTGAAGATTATACTTAAAAAAAATCTCAGCCGTTGTATTATGTGATATCAGTGCTGTAGCAGAGGCAAAAATGAAATGCAACCTTCAAGTAACTTTTGAGAAATTGGACAAGCCAATTTTTTAATCAATTTTTAATTTGGTACAACTTCACATAAATTATGTAACTTCTATGTCAGAGGCAATTTCTCCAAGATAAGTTGACTGTTCTTCGCATAACTGAGGTGCTCAATTTTCATCACCATCACAAGACTTTGCAGTTCGCCTTGTAATCGGAAGGTTGCCGGTTCGAGCCCAGCTCGGACAGTCTCGGTCGTTGTGTCCTTGGGCAAGACACTTCACCCGTTGCCTACTGAATCGATTCTAGAACATAAATATCTGGTATTGGAAGAATCAAAATTTCAGTATCAATCCACACACCACTATTTTTCAATGTGTTTCCAGTCTGTGGACTGCAGGTCCTCAGCTAGTGATGACCAAATGAGGCTTTCTGAAGCACTGAAGCTTGTATTGAAAAACGATTTCAACACAGTTCCCCTTGGTGACATCTGGTGGCCAAACATATGAAGAGCAGCTTGAATCTACAGCTTGTAATGAACTGCTTCATTATGATTGCCCAATTAACAGAGCTGAATTGACAGCCTCTGTTTGATATCATGTGACAGTTCTGTCTGATATCGGGCTGATATGGTGTTTTGAACGTGTATTTTTTGTTGAAAAAATTATGTTATACCCATTTTAATAATATTGATGAATACATTTTCCTTGTTTAAACATGCGCCATGGTGTGTTCTCCTTTTGCTTGTGACTTCTTGATGTTTTTTTTACTAATTAAAAAAAACCCACACAATAAATAACAATGTACAACACATTATAATAGCTTGGGAGTATGCTTGTGCTGTGAGGCCACGTGATTATGCAATTACCAGCGGACAGATTCGTTTATATAAAATATACTATACCTTCTATAATTATAACTATGTGTATTTCTTATCTAGACTTTAGACCTGGGAGCAGAAATGCTTATGAGCTGTTTTTTATTTAGGAATAGGCAGAGCATCCTCTTTTTGTCTGGCTCCATGTCTCTGATTACTATGGACGGCACTGATCACGTGACTCTGTTGAGAAGACCTGAACCTCGGCAGTTTCTGAAGCAGTGTTGATTGTTTTGACACATGTGCCGGAGCTTTGCCGTCATTATCCCGAGCAAACTGCCCCTGCCTTTTTCTTTCTCTCTCTCACAAACACACGGACGTGCCACAGTGCAGCCGTGCACGTTCCTCATTGGTCCCAGAAAGCGAAAAACAGGTGACGCAACACGGAAGTATCGGCAGCAGAGTCTTCGGGCTGTGGTGTGTTTATCGAGGCTGTGTGTGTGAAGGCTCTTGGAGAAACAACGACGCGACATGAAGGTGTTTTTTTCCGGTGTACTGCTGCTCCTGTGTGCGAGGCACACCGACAGCTGGGATGACGGTGGGTTGGCTTTTAGAGTCCGCTTCTTTTACGCTGCTCTTCATTTCCGGTTTGTGCTAAATAAGTGATCGCCTGATTTCCGGTATTTGCCAAAAACGGATTGTTCCTATTTAAACTGATATAAATAACTTGTTGATCTGTAACATGTCAAATGTATCCCCCATAAATGATATCAAGTCACAAACAACGCTCCTGTCACAAGTTAGAAGCCGCAATCAGTCTTTGGCCGTGACTTTAATTTATTTATTTTTATTTATCCAGTTTAAAAAAAAAAATCTCGTTGACATTAAAAATGTCTTTTTTAAAGAGTAATCTGACAAAAAGGACAGCAGAAATTGCAATAAATATAACAAAAAAAACCTAATATAAACATATTTTAAGTGGACAAAAAGGACCGGATTGGTTATAATGTAGGTACAATACTAGGACATTATAAAGATACTTGAAAAACAGGTAATTTTTAGATATTATATATAACCCCTTCGTAAACCCTGTTCACCAAAGTCTATTTACCAACATATGTAAAGATATTACACGTAAAAACAGAGGGAAACACTGGAAATCAATTTATGGCACAACACTGGTTACCGAGATGCTACCCTGTTTAGGAAATACACCACAAACTAGTGACAAACACGCTGTGCATGCATGTTTGTCAGCAATGGTAGGTTATATGATAAGTATGGCACTACATGATGTCATAAAGAACAGCGTACAGAAAATGCCGGTTGATTCAGGACTAACGAGTCAAAATTTGTTCCCGAAGAAGAGCTTTAGTGTGTCTAAAGCGACATGACTGTGATTTGTGTAATCCTAGTGTGGAAATCAGCCCTTCTCCTTTGTCACCTGCAGGCAGTGTACTGCTGCGGGACATCCAGGCACTGACTCTGTACAGGAACCAGTACACCACAGCCAGGCGCTCCAGCCCGATCCCTCAGCTCAAGTGTGTTGGAGGGTCAGCGGGCTGCCACGCCTTCGTCCCAGAGGTGGTTCAGTGTGTGAATAAAGGCTGGAATGGAGTCGATGTGCAGGTGAGGGACCTACTGGTGCTGTACTGTGTGAAATGAGCTCAGTAGGACTGATTCAGCTGCTTTATTTCAATTTTTGAAGAAATGACTCCTGTGTGTGCTGTGCATATTAAAACATTCATCTCAGACAGTGGTAGGCCAACCCAAACTACAAGGACATTATTTCTACAGGCGACAACGAGGAGAGGTGGTTTGAGCCTTAACCTTTATTGTCGTTTCCATGTTTTTTTGGCACCACTGGCTGTAGGATGGTCTGCATGTTCAATTTCAGTAATATGTATGTGTTGACGGGCACATTCTGTCACATTCAGGCAGGTTTAATCTTGTCAGCACAACTGCTCATGAAAAAAACAAAATCTGACAAATTAAATTGGGACTTTTTCTAATCTGAAATTTTGCACTTCAAAACTTGAGCAAGATTTGAGAAACTTGTGTGGGGAATCTCATCCTTGACAGATATGGGACACCTGCAAAATAGATGACCTCACATTTTCCTTTTATTCTGTCTCTTTAAACTAAGTTCAAATGCAAGAATGTCTAAGTGGTGAGAGTGAAGTTTAAATGAGGTATTGTACCGTGTGTATGAGTAACCCTCAAACTTGTTATGCTTAAATACATTTTAGACTGATGGGGTGTCTCTTGTTCTGCTGTGTGTCACAGTGGGAGTGTAGGACTGACATGGACAACACATATCGATTTGGTCACATTGAGGTGAGCTGTGAGGGCTACAATCACCCTGCTGATGCCTACATACTGAAAGGGTCTTGTGGGCTGGAGTACACACTGGAACTGACTGATGAGGGCCAGCGGAGGGCTCACAGTAGTAGGGGTTCCCGCGGTGGGTTTAAAGGTAGGAGGATTAGTGACGCAGGTTTTCATTTTTAAACAAGGATTAGTTGTTTAAGAATGTTCTTTGTTGTTTTGTCTGTCAGATCTCTGGGGATTTGCCTCCAGTTTCTTTACTGGTTCATCAGAATATGGGCAGCAGCCTGACCGTCAGAGCTCTTACCCTGCAGGCACTCAGGACTCAGGAGGACTGCTGGTTGTTGCTGTGCTTCTGCTCTTAGCCTATGGCATCTATAAACTGTTCCTAAGTGGGAACACCACTGGGGGGCAAGATGGTGGACCAGCTACACATTCTGGACACAATTACCATGGCTCCATGGGTGGACCACCCCCACCAGGATTCAAACCAGACTACACAGGTAGTTGATGCAAAATGACGGCGTGCGGAGATGTAGACGGTGTGGTCTGCACATTTGTCAAAACAGCACATCCTTTTGGTAGAGCGGACCTTGTATTCTGTATTATTTTAGGGTCTTTACTGTACAACATAAAGCACCTTGAGGTGACTGCTGTTGTGATTTGGTGCTAAAGAAATG